GTAGGCACCGATCTCCGTCTCCGCGCGCGCGAGCGGCTCCGCAGTTCGGGCAGCGTTTAAAGCCGAGCACCTTTTCATCGTCGCCATGGCCAGTGGGAACCTGCGCGCTCCTCGGCTCCGAGTGGCGCCAGCTAATCCTTTTAGCTGTGCTAGTTGGAGTCTTAAGCCTAGCTAGGGCTTGACAAGAGATAAAAGTTTTCGCTTTGGGGGTAAGTTTCTCAGCTTCAACTTTTTGAAGCTTCCATTAGGAGGGGCTGCAGCGAGGAAGTCACTTCTTGGCTCTTTGGAGCTCCGTAATGGTGTGACCAGGCACTTCCCGCACCGTTCTCCGCAGCCGTCCGTTCGGTGTGTGGAGCAGCAACGTGCTTGCCTGGTCAATCTGCAGGACGGAACGACTGCCAGGAGTAAATGCTCCCCCTTTTCCGTTGTAATGGGTTGGTGGCTTTTATTAAGATTCTTGTTTGCAGGCCAGCCTAGCAGCTCAGCAGACTTTTGTAACTGTTAACACACTGACCCTCGGCAGCGATGCCACGGGAGAGGATTTCTCCACATGGAGGATGGCATTTTGCCTTGTCCAGGTAGTCAGATGCAACAAGGCACCCGAAAAGGGGATGCGTGAGGGAGAGGCTGGAGGAACCACCTTGGTGAAGCACAGTGGGACAGTGGCAGTGTCCTTGCTAGTCCGTGTGAGTGCACCTCTCACTCACTGAGCCCGGTCCTGTAGCAGAAGTGACACTTGTCATCACAAGGAGGGTGGTTTCCTGCCCCAAAATCCATCCAGGGAAGTTTTAGCAGCTCTCACTTTCATATCACGTTAAGTGCAGATAGCACAAAAAATAAGCATCTAAGCAAAGACTTTCTCAGCTCATTTCCCATCTTCTGGGCATGCAGCATTTTCTAGGATAATGGTTGCATGGAAAAGACAGGTGAAGAAAGAGGGGAGATGAGGATGTTGTGGGGGCAATTTACCGTTCAKTAAGCCTGGCAGTGATAGCTAGGCTTGACATGCCACATGCCACAGCACTCCAGGCACCTGCCAGGGACYCAGGTCCTGTCATGAACTGACACACCTTCCAGTTAGGAGAGTCCCTGCCCCTGGGAGGGAGCTCTGACTATATGATGGCAACTATATGTATAGGGTGACACAGGAAAAGAAAGGGAAATATGCAGGGAGTTAAGCATTGCTACCTTTTTTTTTTTTTTTGAAATATTTCCTGTGCTGTCAAAAATTCCACTATCCTTAGTGCTTYTGGACACTTACTGCTACTTTCCTGAATGCTAGTTGCAAAGTCAATGTAAATGAATTACTTTGTTGAAGAAATGTGGAGTAGAGGCAGGTATTTTCAAGTAGGTTAGAAAACGTTAGTCTCAGATGTTTAGTACTGCGAGTGATTGCAGACTCCTCAGTAAAGTGGTCTGTAGCTGTTAGAAAAGAAGCCCCTTGCTTCTTTCCCCATATATGAATGGAAAGCCTTTCAGATGTGTGTGTGAATATCTATATATACACACACTATGACTGTATGTTAATATTTACATATATAAATGGCTATGATGTTCAAATTCTTTCGCACAGCTTTTCTTGTGTTAACTAGTGTAAAGAGAATATCCCAGAGCTTTAAATTTTATTTTTTGCACTGAAGATCCGTCACTTAAGAGATCATTAAATTCTACTTTACGATTTTTAATGTTGCCAATGTAACTTTTCCCAGTAAATGCCCAGCCCCACCCCCACAAGCTGGAAAGCAAAAATGACGAGTACTGTAATGTTGAAATTGGATCCAAAGGGATTTAGCAAACTGAGCATTTGCCATATTTAGTGTCATCAAAGTTCCTTCCTCTCATACTTCGGTGATGCATTGCTGATCTTCTGATTAGTCTGGTGTGCTTTTTCTCTTAAATTACCTACACTGCTTTTCTTAAGCACTGCTTTCCTTTATCTCTTGTTGAGCAAAATTCGTGCATATACTTTAATATCCCTAAATTGACTGTTAGGAAAGTGGGATAAAGCTAAAATGTGCATTTGCTGCATATCAGCCTGTGCCATTGATCTGCTCAGGAAACTGTGATACTCTGCTCCCCTCCCAGCACATTGGAACTGACAGCTTCTCGCAAAGTCAAATAAGATGTTTAACAAACCACATGTCCTATCGTTTTTAGCCCTGCCATTGTACCCTGCTGGCTGCAAGCCAGGGAYAGATACACCACCTCCTCCAGCGTGCAGTGGCTTTGCATGTGTGTATGTGTGTGCACACGTGTGTATGTGCATGCAGTTGGTTCCCCGTGTCCCTCCTGGGCAGCCTAAGAAACCTGTGCTGTGTGCGGCTGCACAGAACAAGCAATTTGAACCTTTTTTTTTTTTTTAAAGGGGTTGGGGGAGACAGAAGTATTTTTTTTGCAAAAGGTGAAGATGCTTCTCTATTCTGGGACGGCTCTTTCGGGGATGGGGAAGGTGGGTTATATCCTGGTGAGCGCAAGCCGCAAATGTCAGTGTCCCAGCGCACATGCCGAAGTTGATGGGAAAGGGAGGACAGCTTGCTGTGCCACTTGATATCTGTCTCATCTGCRGTGTTGCCATAAGCTTTTGAATGCCAGCTGCAATAATTAAAGCCAGGTATTGTTGCTATGCWTAAAAAGAAAAAAAAATAAATCCCAAACCATTTCTTAACCGTCTTTCAAAATCTGCCTTAATGGAGCTCAGAGTTGCAAACGTGAGAGGATGATTTCATGCAAGGGAAACACCAATCTGTGAGTTAAAATAAAAATATTGTTAAAACCCATATATAAGATTTTTTTWATTATTATTATTATTTACTTGCAACAAACAAAATAAATTGGCCTGCGCACAGTACCTGGATTTTAGCCTTGTTTGGCTCGCTCCTCTCCACCATTCTTCCTTCCTGGCATTTTTTTCCCTGTTATCCGCCACCGTTTCTTAGTGATTCTCCACAAGATGCTGTGCTAGGTTTCCTGTGGGTACTTAAAGGCTCATTCCTCACTCACCCAAATTCGCAGGACCCCTGTCCRAGGGCCCTCTCACCTCCTCCTCCTCCGGCTTGCGCCAGTGCATGGGGTGGCGAGAAGCACCTAAACGGGCACCTTCCCATTTAGGGAATTGCACGGCACTACTCACCAAGGTCAGTCACAACAGCAAAGCGTCTGCCAAGCTGCATGATTTCCACAAATCCCCTCCACGCCGTTCTGGTACTTGGAGGCCTGGCGCGATGATCGCCCCCTTTTCATAGCATAGTCATGGCACGTGCCATTGTTTAACATGGGGAGAAAACAATTTTTAAGGAATTTTTTGCTCTGTTTTTGGCATCAGGGAACCATAACACTGTGGGAAAACTTAATTCGGAGCAGTTGTGCTCAAGTCTTAGCAGAATGTTTAACTTAAGGCACRTTGAATTAGTCTCACAAAAATCAATGGAAGTAGGTAAAACAATTCAAATCACACCACCTATAAAACCAAACAGTAACTCAGTCATGTTAGTGGCCTGCAAATGCTTGAAGGGATGTTGGCTGCCAAAATTTTCAGAAGTGATGATGTTTTTAGGCTGATTCCATTTCGGGATGCTCAACTGGAAGTCTGCTAATGAGAGCCACTTTGTCAGTAAGTCCTCGATGGTCCATTCCCTGAAGATGAAGTGTGCCCAACAGTGCATCCAAAAATTAGGGCATCCTCAATTATTGCCTTTTGAAAATGTTGGCCACTGGTGTGCTTATTCTAGGAACCCATATTCTTCCCTAGTTTCATCTGCAGGATTTATCCTGAGCTCAGTTGRCATTCATCAAAGGAGAATTAGAGCCTTTGGTCTTATTTAAACTAAGGCCACTCAATGTGTTTTTTGTTTGTTTGTTTGCTTTTTGTGATATACGGGCACGGTAAAGTAGAATTTACAGCCGCTCTAAAATTGCTTTATACAACGAGAACAGTGYTCAGTGGCCTTAGCAGAAGTAAAAATCAAGTCAATATTTTGCTAAGTTCTATCTCGAAGATCGCAGGTTCAGTGTGTGCAGTCTGTGCTCTTCCCATGGTACCAGAAGCGGGTACAGCCTAATGGGATAGTTGTTTATTTTAGTATTCCCTCCTTTTTCTTTCTTTTTTTTTTTTTCTTTTTTTTTTTTCCCTTGGGCCATATGCTTCCTCATTCAAGGGCTTTATTGTTACAGAGATTCAGTGCTGTTCTCAGCCGTCTTAAAGAAAAAGTCTGTCTTAKAGTGTGCAGCAAGGAAAATGAAACTGATTTTGCAATATGAGAATAGCGAGCGTAGGCGAAAAGATGCCTTGCCGTCAGGATCCCTCTAAAAGGAAAAATTGGAACATATTTCTTTTTTCTTCCTTATAAATCTTGGTTTCAGGAAATATAATCAGTGCCCTCAGGTGTATTCTCTCTTTTGTTTTGTGAAAATTTTGAAGGGAGTCTCTTGTCAAACAGCAGAGCTTTCCTTGAAAACGGCRCAGGAAATGAGCCCGATTTGTAAATCCAGTAACAAAATCCAGGGCTTTCAGGAGAAGGTTCGTGCWTCGCATGTGTCAATTAATGCCTGTTAATCAGTTTGTGCAGTTAGTTGAGCTGCAGGTTGTAGTTGGAAGCTATTAGAGGCAAGTGGTGTACAGTCGCAAAGCTACACTCGGTTTTTATGTTTGTGTCCTTTGGATTCAAGGTGTTTGTATAATGAACTTGGCACATTGATATATGATCCATTTTTTTAATGTCATTACAATTTTAGTTCCCTCTGTCTTTTTGTCATTGGGTTACATTTAAGCACAGCAAGATCAACTTTAAACTTCCTTACTCAACAGCTTTATTAGTTATAACGTACCCTGACCTTTCTCAAAATTCTTAAAGAAAAAGATACAGTGTAATGTCACTTTACTTTGCTTATTGTTCTTTGTTGTGGTGAACAAAGCATTTTCTACAGTGGCTATAGCACATAATTATACAGCTTTCAATAGCGGTGTCTTGGCACATATCAAAGTTCAGAAGAGCCTTTAGAAA